ATAATGATCTACTTGTACATTTTGGTTGGTTGGTTTCTGTCTCCAGTTATTCTAGTGAACAGAACTTCACCAAGTTGGCAGTTTAGCTTTAATCCAGGGGTCCTACAGAAAAGGGTTAAATTTTCTCTTTTGTTTTTCCCCCCCTCTTTTTCTCATGTCAAAATGCCGTTTACTCAATCCTTTCCCAAACACAACATATTTTGCTCTTTTTCCTATGAAAAGGGCAAAACTTGGGCACAACCCAAATGAACGTGGTGTGTGTTTTTCATGTGTTGAAATTTAATGGCAATTCTGGGGTTTGAGTGCCTCAGACGTCTTCCTGCATACACAGGGTGACCTTTTATAACCTCCACAGTTATACAGAACTATCTTAATAGGCCTTACAAGTCTCAAGCATATCTATACATACTATGAAAATGTCACACACAGGTATATAAGAGATTTCAGGACTTAAAATCTCCTTCCTAGCAAATAGCAATATATCTTTTTTTTTTTTTTGTCCCCTTTGAAGAGGTCAAAATTCAAAGAATATATTAATTACTTATGCTGTTTCAATCTCAATTTTCTATGAACAGTCATACCTATGTTAACTTCTTATCTTTTACTGACTATGGGATTTAAGGTGCTAATAATGTAGCTTCTGCCATCACAGCAACCTGGAATTAAAATCCATTAATTATTGGATTACCATCCATTGGTCTTATTCTTCTTTCTTCTGTAAAGAATTCCTGTAAGATAAAGGTGCTGTTTTCTGTACCCTTCATACGTGCTGTGATCACTACACAGGCCTTCATAAGTACTTACACAGTGATGCAATCCTTTGTTATTCTCATGACTTTTTGTCCCAAATGCTGCGAAGCCTGTTTGCTTGGATTAGGGTTATGTTTTTGTAATTATTCTGACTCACAACTCTGACTACTTTGTTGTCATAGAGAGCTTTTCTTGCCACAGTCTGAATTATTTTTAACCCTGAAAATGTGAATTCTTTTTAACAGTTTCACCACAATGAAAAGATAGAATGATTTCCTTTGCTTGCTAAATTCCAGTCACATCAAGGTTAATTATAATTCTTCTGAGTGTCACCACATATTTCTAGTCTCAGACCTCCCCAGACTGTCAGAATCCCTACATTACAGGAGCAATTCCTCAGCTCTACATCAGCCACAAGTTCTCAGTTTTGCTTGACTTTCTGGATAGATAAGTATATTAATCTTTTCAGCTGTCCTAACTTTTGGAAGAATTTTAACTTTAGTAAGGTTCTCACATGCTGCATTCTAACTGAGGCATTTTTGGTTATTTTTTACTAATTTACACATTTTTCAGGGCCAAGAAAAATACTGAGACCTATTCCTTCTTAGTATCTGAATCCTAACCAGCCTGCACTGTGATAGCACAGGTTTCTGCATAATGTATCAACTCATCCCAAAGCCCTCTTTATAACACTATAAAGAGTATAATAAAATTCTGGATGTAGGTATTTAGGGTCTGCAAGGCAGCTCAGCACCTGTCCTCTGTGCACTGAAGAAAACACCTGTGTGTACATCCTTCAGCTGGAGTGTGATAAACTCTGTCCAGTGGTGGAACCTAATTCTTAGGTATAACTGGAACAAGTCTTGGTGAGAACCTGCCCTGCAATATCAAGTGCAAATTCACTATTACATAGAATTAGTTACTTGTGAAGAAGTGACTATTGCTCATTAGAATGGTCAGCTTTCCATGTTATTTCATCCAAATAATGTATATATTATTTGTTCATAGGGTTACTATACACTTGTATTGAGTGTCTCTAAAACCCTCTTCTTCATTCCTTTTAGCTTCCTTGGCTCATATAAAGTTCTGAAATTCAAACCTGCCTATATCACTACCAACAATAAATATTTAACTAAAATTTTATATTTGATGGAATCGTGTATCTGGTCCTTTTAGGGTCCTTTTAGAATCAATAAAGAAAGACAGAGCAACTCTCAGATACTTATTGAGATCTTCAAATAATTTATTCAATTCCCTCTTTCACCTGGGATACCCTATGGCAACTGTACATCTTACGTAGTCACCTTTACTTAGCTAAAAAAATCTAATTTTTACTCAGTATCCGTAGCATATCTCAGAGTTCTTTAAATAGTACATGTATAAAGATACTAAGAGGGAAAAGTATGGCTTAGGTATTTTTTATGTGCAAACTATGTTTCTTCTTCTCAGAGTTGTTAATGTTTTCAATATGAGAGACATACTTTCCTTGTGTAAGCAAAGCATCAGAAAGGAAAGGTTAATGATGGCTAAGGATCTGCTCCTTATTCTCTATTCCCACACAGAATAGAAACAAAGCAAAGTACCACACAACATTTGTATTAATCTAAAGTCATAAAAATATTGTTGGGAGGCAAGCATTCCTCTTTGTATATGGACTGTTTGCCCCAGAAGTCAATGCAGGTAATCTGCCAGTCATATTTCACATGAAGCAGATTTTGGCTGAATCTCAGTTGCAGGTAATTTGGCATTTTATTTGTAAAACAGCTTCAGCAAATTCTGCATAACTTTATGGGATCAAGAAGGGTTCGTTTTTTACCTTGTGAAAGGAACATTGATATAACCCAAAATCATCATGCATAAACTAGCTAAATCTAATAAAAATATATGTATTTCTTACCTTCTGTGCTCGTAAACTGTAGATATGTGAGGTAGTTTTTCATTTTAAGTTTCCCTTCCGCACACCTCTGTAACTATCCAGACAAACCAAACAGACTCCACAAATGAAACTAATTTACTATATCAGGTTGCCAAAAACTTAATAAAAAAAAGAGGAGACTTTTATTATCATTCAGTGGAATCCATTAATGCTTAAATATAGCATTTTAGAATGCTTTACTCACCTCATTCATGTAAAGAACTGATCTGACTTTTAGTTGAGTAAAAAAGTGTTTCAAAACTGTATGTATTTTTGGTGTGTCTTTCTGGGTGATGAATGCCAGAATATTTGACCTACCTGACATTTCCTTGGAAAGACAGCAGCCTTCATCTCAGGACAAACCCACAGGGAACCTGTTCAATTATCTGATCTTTTTCTAATCATATAATGCATCTCATTGAGAGAGAAGACTAATTTACTTTTTAAAAACAATATTTATGAACCCAAGGATTAAAATTAATTATTTGAAATATCAGTTCCTTACTGAAGAAATCTAAACATCCCTAATTGCTGTATTAAGAGAAGTAAGTATACACCAATATATATATATCTGTATAGACGTATGTAAAAGAAAAATCTGAGTCTTGTACAACATTCAGTATCTAAAGCTGTCATTTTCTCTCCAGATTTTGGCCTGAAATGTCACCTGTGACCACTGTTTACATCTGTTCTAAAATTACTGACAGTCTGTTAGGACACCACCACCATATAGCTGTGTCTGTTACTATAACAAATGCAGTAAGTGCATTCATTACTTTATGAAGAAAGTATCTCTATTTATTATGCAGCCACAAAGAAAAATGTACTTGAGAGCATGCAGTATGGTGCATGGGTGGAAGCAATCCTATGTTTTTTCTTCATGTCACATTCCTCACCTCCAAATTTGATCTACTGTATTTACTTAACATAACCACTTCATATTTGGGAATACACACTGAACATTTTTTCCCATCACTCTACACAGACCTTTCCATACTGTTTAAAGTGCTCCAGCTTTCCTTGATTTTCCGATCTCCCAGAGTCGTTAACCAATTACAGCTGGGATCAAGGCCAAAACCAGCTAAGTATCACAACTGAAATTATCTCAAGTGGTACCTTCATTAAACTGCTGAATAATCTTTTTTTAGCCTCCAGATAAACATTGGTTGGATTTTCTCATACCTTATGCCTTCCTAAAGGTCTTTCATTTTTGCTTTATTGTTTATGTTATTTTCATTTTATAAAGCTTCCTAGAGGAAGTGAGGTGACTTCCCACCTCAGCTACATTAACTGCAAATTAGGATAGCCCTCTTCCTTCACAGACTTTCTCTGGAAAAAATGGAAGTTAAATTATATTATGGTCTCTGTACAGCTTTCCCCCAAATCACTAAAAGCAGCAATTTCAGCAGATCCTGGACTGTGGTTTCATTTTATTTTGTAGTGTCTCTGGATCATTTTATACTTCACAGGAAGAAAAACAATTTTTTGTAGTTCACCTACTTCTAGGACACTACCAATAGCCAGACTTGGTCTTCTATGCAGAATTTCAAACAAGAAGTCCATGATATAGAATGACCTGACAACAAATTAGGTTAAACTGTTTCTTGTTAAACAAATGTTTCTTCCTCCTCACTGCTTATATTAGGAAGAGGTGGCTTTTTCCTCTCTAAAGCAATTCAGTTTTCTCCCTTACTGTGAGTTTACTGCTGATACAATATTTTGAGAAAAATAAAATCTTATCTCAGGAGTTTTAATATTAAAAGAGGAAAATTCTGTTCTCAACTAGGAAAACTTGTCTGATTTTCCCACTGCAAAAATACAGATAAAAGCAAAACACATTACAGATGGAAATGCCAAAGAACAGCAGAAGGAGCTATTACACTATATGACATTGATTTCTTAATTTACATTTATTTATTCTTCTGCTTCACAGAAGAGAATATTGCAGAGCATTCTTTAAGTTGTTAAAACTTGGCCATCCCTGCTGCTTGATAAAGTACTCCACCTCAAATGAAATGTTTGGGGTGAAAATGTTCTTATCTGACTCTTGCTGAAGATGTATCTGCCCTCAAGAGATGGGGAAGATAACAGTGTTTACAAAAGTGGATTTCAAGAACATGCATTACAAAGACGCTCGCATATGGATGCAGTCACACACTATCACAGCACCAGTAAGTCATTGTTACCAAGCTTTTAATGTCATTTATAAAAAAATAGAGTTATTTACATTTGCAAGTTATTTGATGGCATCCTCTTTTATTACAACGTTTGAATCTGTAAGGAAATGTGACACTAACTCATTTGAGAGTAAACTTCTCAATGATAAGCATAACAGTACAGGAAAAATATTTAAAACACTGTGAATTCCTGTTATTTTGCAGCATCATACAAACACAGTCTTTACAACACATGCACCCTGGCCTTACAGTAAGCAGAATTCCCTTCCAGATTAAGGCACAGAAACTCTGCCACATTTCTAGGGACAGTCCCACATTCTTACATGTGGAATTTCAAAACATAACCAAAGGAATTACTTTAATTCCAATGGGTTGTAGCAGAATGTGTCCACTTACACATTTTTAAGAAAATGCTGATCAAAGGGACCAAGAGAAAAAATGTATGACTAATTGCATAGTTGCAGTAAACCAGACCCATGAATACAAAAGCCATCAAAATATATTATAAATCTATCTGACTTTCAAAGCTACTTTAAAATACTGTTTTGCTTTACAATAAAAATAACACTGTTTGGGGTTAGTTTGTAGAATTGTATTTTGGTCCATGCTGTTAATTCTATATCATTATATTCCTCTTCCATTAGTTTAAATGCCTCAGAACAGCAGGTCCTCAGGCAGTGGTAAGAATGATGAAGCCAAGTCTTAGACTTCAGCTGCTGCAGTCAGTTCATAAAACCTCTAATTTCGACCACCTCCATTCTTTACTGCTTTAAATAATCTGCCCTCAGAACACTAAGGGAAAGAATGATGAGGGATGCAGATTTAACACTGTTAGAGATGGGGGTTTGCCCCATCTTCTAGTCCTGAGCTGATAAATCACAGCTCTTAAAAATATCCAACCCTTTAAAAAAAAAAAATAAAATATCAACAATAAGAAATCCTCAATTTAGTCTGACTACGCAGTAGTTCCACATAATCTGCTGGCAGTAGAAACTTCTTTGGTGTCAGAGTCAGGTCTTCCTGAAACCACAAACGGCCAAGTCTGGATGCAAAACAAAAAAAAAAGGTATTTCATATTAAATATGAAGAAAGTTTATCCTCATATGAAACTGGAGCTTTATTACTGATAGATGTCTAACTCTGGTTCAGTTGCAAACACGTCATCATGTTTTAGTCCCTGTGGGAAGCACAGAGAGAGCCGAGTTCCTCTAACAAATATTTTCATTACGTTTTTCATTATAATTAAACGCTCCACAGAAGGTTTGCAATAGTCAGCAACAATGTTCACATCCAAACTGCAACATTTCTCTGGCTTTGAAACCTCGAGTCATTTAATAAATAGAAAGCATGTAAACTATTCAAAAATAATCACTCTGCTGTATATTTTGTTTTAACCCTGTGACAAGCATCGGGCATTTAGTTTTGCACCGATAAACTCATGACGCTCTGCTTGTGCTGCAGGCCAGCCCGCAGACGGAGTTATTCCTTTTTCGGACACTAAGGTTGCCTAATGCCCAAGGAATGTAATCTTTAGGGTCCCCTATTCCGACTCCCCAGGACTGACACACCCGCCATCACCGAAAGCTAAGCGCGGCCCCGGAGTCGCCCACGGTGCGAGGGCCATCGAGGATTTGCAGAGCAGCCAGGGCCGCTCCGCCGCTCCTTCCAGGGCGGGCACGGCCTGAGCGCTGCCCCCCTGCCCGGGGATCGGCCCCAGCGGTGCCCGGGAATTCCCCGGGGGTGCCCCTCGCCGCATCCCGCCCGCCCCCCGTTCCGTACCAGGTTGACAGGATGGACGTAGCCGTTCTCGTAGCGGTCCTCCTGCAGGAGCTGCCGGAGGTGGGCAATGTAGCTGGACGCCAGACGCAGCGTGTCCAGCTTGGACAGCTTGGTGTCGGGCGGCACCCAGGGCAAGCTCGTCTTCAGCCGGGAGAACGCCTTGCTCAGCACCCGCATCCGCGCCCGCTCCCGCGCGTTGGCCGCGTTGCGCTGGGACTGCTTCCCCTCGGGCGGCGGCCCCCGGGGCCCCGACACCGCCTTCTTGCCCCCGGGGCCGCCGCCCCGAGCCCGTTTCCTCTTGCAGCCGCTGCCCGCCGGCCCCGCCGCGCAGCTGCCCTCGCCGTCCTCCTCCTCCTCTTCTTCCTCCTCTTCCTCCTCCTCCGCGGCCGAGGAGTTGTCCCCCGAGGGGTAGATCTCGCCGCGGGGCTGGCGCTTGGCCGGCGGCGGAGGGTAGTCCAGCTGCAGCGCCCGCAGGTCCATCTCGGGCAGCTCCTCCGCCTCGCTGGCGGAGCCCGTGGACATGGTCCCGGGCGGGCGGCGGGGAGGCGGGCAGCGCGGCAGGCAGGCGGGGGCGGACGGCCGAGCCGAGTCGGCCCAGAGCGGGGCGGCCCCGCCGCGGAGAGTCCGTGCCGGGGCGGGGGCGCGGGGGGGCGCGGAGGGGGGATGCGCCCCTTGACAGCGCTATATATCGGGTGTCCGCGGAGCGAACCATCTGCCGGGCGGAGGGGAGGAGAGGGGCGCGGGGCGGGGGTCGGCCCTGCGGAGCCCCGCGCCGGGGGCGGCGCCTCTCCGCGCTGGCCCGCGGTCCGCGGCTGGGCTGCTGCGGCGGTGTGCAGAGCCAGACCCCTGTGTGGGGACACACACACGCGCATGGGGGTACACGGACACGCGGGACGTCTCCGTGTCTGTCTGTGCTCTTGGGCATCCCGCCTTTCTCACTGCTCAGACCCCTCTCCTCGCCGCGGAGGACACAAATTATCTCCAGGGACGGTCCCGCCAGTGTTTGCGCGGGGACGAGCGCACCGCTCCCTGTGTCCACGGGCTAAGCGCGATCCAGGACTCTGCTGCCAGTTCACCTACACTCTCTCTTTCTCTTGCCCTTCCTTCGAGGGCATGGGATTTTCCCACCGTATGAACCCCGGCGCAGCCGAGTGGTGCGGCAAGACTGGACCTCAGCCCGCTGGGCTCTTCCCCGGCTTGCCCAGCTTCGGGAAGCTGCTGTGCGGTCCCGCCGGGGCGGGCGGAGCAGCAGGAGACGCGGCACCGGGGGCTGGGTGTGCGGTGTGTGGTGAGCAATACAAAAAGTCGCTGGAATGTGCGTACTGTGGTTTGATAGTGTCCTTAGCTTCGGGTGAAGCTCCAGATAGTAGCGAATGAATACAATTTTTCCGAGGGTTTCTCCCTCCTCAGAGCAATTAATTAAAACCCATTTAATTGGGCTATGTACACCTCTGTCACAGGGCAAATTAAACTAGACAGCTTTCCGAGCTGCTTGCAGGTTTCTAAAACAAATTCTGTAGTTAATTTTTTTTTTATTATAGGGTCCACGGGTGAATGGAGGACCTTGTATCCAATGGAAATGCTGGCATACAAATTCAACAGAGGCATAAATAAAAAAAAAACATTGTTAAAAATTTCAACTATCAACTCGTATCCCTCGCACCTCCCCCCAAACCTCCCTTTTGCACACACGAAGAACTAGCGTTTGTTTCCTTGCTGTCTTTCTGAACTTGGATACGATTAACTGGAATAAAAATGTAGTTCTCAGAAAAGAACTTAATGACTACAACAGGTGGAAAGACCTTGCCCCGCAATTTCTGTTCACGGTTTTTCCCTTCCGTTTCCCTCCCTACCGAGTGGAACCTGCCACGCAACTTTCCTGGCACCGCCAGCCGCCTTTGGGCCCAGAGCTTTGCTCCCCTCCCCACCAGCCCTGCGGGCTCGCTGAGGCCGCTTAACGCTGTGCAAACCCCGACTTCACCCACTGGGGCTAGAACCACATCAGAGTCGGGTTTAATGGCAGCCTTTCCAAGTGAAACTTGACATTTCTTGAACCACCTATGCAGACAGCTGATCTTGCAACTGGATCTCTTGAACTTGGTTTGACACCACGATAGATGCTCAGGCTGGGTCCCACATGCTGCACGGTGAAAGGGCAGCACACTGGTCTTGGGGATTGCTCTCCCTCCCCAATTAGACTGCATTATCTGCATATATATATATATGTACATAAAGATACTGCAGGGGAAGAGATATAGGTTTACTTTTTCCCCCCCATCTGGGTTGTTTATACAGGTGCAGGCTGAATGCTTTCACTGCTAAAGATTAATGGAAGAAAGTACTGAATTTCTTTAAGCAGAGAAGAAAGTGGTACCCAGTCTTAAAAGCCACAATGTCAAACCTCACCTTTCCTGCCTGCCTCTGCCTTGGCGGATTAATGGCAATGCATAATGGACACCTTGACTCATTTAATGAAAGGACTGGGGGCAGTAGGATGAGCTGAATCCTCAGATCGTCTTTGCCTGCTTCTTGGTTAGTGAAGGAAACGGGAAATGCAGTGGAGTAAATCTGAAGTCAGGATTTACTTCGGTTTTACATCTGATGTAACTGAGCAGACCTGACTCCTCTCACATCTATCAAACCACTAATTTCTGCGACCCTGACAAAGATATCATTTTCAGGATAAAGTCTTTGATGGGGCCAGGGCATTACATCATGCTTCCATTTGTCAAGACTTTGATCCTTTATGATCTCTGTGAGCTGAGTGGGGAAAGCCCCTGGTATATCAAGGTAGCATTTTATGCTTTACCGTTATCAGGTGTAGTCCCTTTCCCCTTTCTTCTTTAAAAGACAAAACCCCGAACCGTGCCCGAGCTCCGAGGCAGCATCCTTCCCTGTTCCACAGTGTATCCCTGCACACTGGGCGAGGTGCAGGGGCAGCCTGGGTTTGCAAAGTCTGCGGTGTGTGTTTGTAAAGGGATTGGAGCAGCAGCTAGAACAGCTCCTACATGGAAAGCAGCTGCAGAGACTCCCACCCCCAGACAGCTTTGCCTCTGCCGCCGTTGTTAGCCCTGAGGACACAAAAATCAGCTTTTCTCCACTGAGAGGAGATCCCTGAACTGGGGAGGCTCGCTGGGGCCGAGTGGGCTTTTTTCCTCCCACTTTTCCACCGGGCATTTAGGTAAACAAATGCAACCAAGCAAAGAGGAGTCCACGAAAAGCAGATCTCTTCTTGACTTTTTTTGCAGTAAGTGAGGGTGTTTCATGCCGCAGCTAAGGACCGGCGAGGACGGAGAACATCCCCGGACAGGCCGGGAGGCGCCTGTGCCCGGGAGCCGCCGCTCCCGAGACAAAAGCGCGGCCCTAACAACCCGGCGGATGCCTGGGATGTTGGAGGGTATAATCCTCTCATTTCCATCCTTAAATTTTAGAACAAATTATAGCAAAAAACAAAAGAGAAAAAATGACCGGAGGCCAAGTCTGTAAAACGCGGGTTATCTCCGAGAATGGGAGGGCGAACTGCTAAAAGCCCCGTGTCTTTCACCCTCATCCTCTCATGGGGTGTTGGCAGCGACAAAGCTGGGTGGAGGAAGGAGATGATGTGCTCTCGATAAAGTACTTTAAATACGGCTTTTCCTTGGCATTTCTCCTTTTCTCGAACTCAGCAGTTATCGAGTTCGCCCCACCCGAAGTATCCTACACTTTCTCAGAAAGACCTAAATGTAACAAGGGCTTTTTTTATTCGTTTTTCCTGCGGTGGTGAGAAAGGCGTGATGCCCGGAGGAGAGGACTGCGTCTGACAAATGTGCTCGTCTTCATCTATTTACAAGCATTTACAGCACACATCCAGGCTGTGTGAAGGCCGTGCAAGGCTTCTGCCACGAAGTGATGGATGATGGAGATGGCTGGTCTAGTAGGAAAAGCAGGTGGATGAATGATAACCTTTGCTTAATGCCGCTTAGAGCAAAGACGACTCAGCTTGGCTCAGATTTCTCTGTAAAAGCACAGAACGAAGGGAGAAGCGTGTGATTGTCCCTCATTCTCCCAACAATCTTGCCTCCACTTAAAACCTCTGTACCTGGAATGATCTTTTCTACAGCCAGTGTCCCGGGTACCTGTCCTTAGCCCGAGGTCTTGCACGGCTCAAGGCACCATTAAAGGATTCCCTTGTTTTTTTGTCGCTTTACTAAGAAGGCAGCGCCGTGGTGCCCGTGTCCTGGAACCCTGGCAGCCAGCTCTGTGGGGATACTCCATGTGAGCTAGCCCAAGGGATCTCGAAATCATCACGGCAGAAGGCAGAAACGGAGCAGTTGCTGGAAATGAGTGTATCTTAGGAGCAGGATGGACTTCCTAGAAAGTGGCTTTCCACCATATAACAAAATCAAAAACTACTCTGTGGGTCAAGCCATGTCAAACAAAGCACACAGGAGATGATGATAAATGAACCTCTGGAAAGAAAACAAAAACCAGAAAAAAAAATAATTTACTAGAATTTATTTTGCCTAGCGAGAGCAAACCTTGTCATCAAGGGGCATGCTCGATGATTCACTTGTGAAGGGACTACAAACCGAGGCTAAACCCCTCCTCTCCTCCCCTCTCCTCGCTCCCTGCGAGCTGGGGCTGTCCCGTTTCTCTTCCCGAGAGCCGTCTCCAGCTGCGGGACGGGCAGAACTCTCTCTTGCCGTCGGGGGCGGGGGTCTCTGCTTGGGCGGAGGAAACCCTCGGCTCCAGGAGGAAAACACTGCCGGAGCGGGTTGCTGGCCGACAGGAGTGAAGCAGTCACTGGTGTCCTGAGTCGACGGCTGCAGGGCTGGTTTTACCACCTGGGCTATGGTGAGGGTTCGTGCTTCTCCCTCAGCAACCCTGAGCATAAGCGGAGACACGCTTTTAAATTTAAAATAAAAAAGACGAATAAACAACTCTACCACCGTCAAAACCCCCAACCCAACCAACCAAGCAAAAGCCCACCAAACAAACAGACAAACAAACAAACAACCCCACACGTATGTCCTCCGAGCCGCTAATTCACCCAAAGGGGATCCCGCCCCGCAGTACGAGATGAGCGCGACTTCCCCGAGGAAAGAAACCGCTCCCTGTTAGTGGCTTCTTCTCCCCGGCATTTCTTGTGCAATAACTTTAACGAGGTATTATCGAGTGTGATCTTTGCTTTGCCCGGATTTTGGCCAGCAGTGAATTTTGCTCAGGTATCCCCAACTTTCAGCAAGATTTCCCCTGTGGAATAGCCAGGCAAGCTCTTTAAATACCTCCTGGCGCCAGAAGAAAGTTCTCATGTAATAGATACCCGTTGGTGTGAGAACACGGATTCTGCTCACTTTGTCAATCAGCCGGGGGGAGGAAGGGGATTGGGGGGAGGGGGGGAGGGGGTTCCTTTAATTAAAAAAAAGAAAAGTATTTTTTCATTAATTCTAAATTTTTTAATGGTGCCAGGAGATATGCAGTTGGTAAAAAAGGATCAGAATTAACGGAGCTGTTTCAAACCCAGTTTATTTCTTCTCTTGGAG